CTTGACATTATGTTCTAGAGTTAGAAGCATGTTTCTTTTCTTCAGTAAGATGTACCACAGTTTATGTAAGTCTTCATTACTTTTGTTCCTTAACTGCTGACAGGTCCATGTGGCTCCAGATTTCACTTTCTCTTGTCCCCCATTCTTTGGGTCATTAAAAAAATTCTTCCAGTCCTTTCCTTGATAATATGGTATGAAGTAATCTACACTAGAAATAGGACAATCAGCAGGACTATAATTGTTAGGAAAGCCTTGTTCCAAAATGTTGCAATTTTACCCCAGACTTTAATTGATAAAATCTTCTGCCATCTCAGGAGGAATGAAAGGTATACAGAAGAGTGAAATGAGGACTATTTTGGCATACAGAAAGGTTGCAACTATCACCCACTGGATTGTCACTTTTGGGTTCTTGCACTAGCTCGGCCACCTGCTCCCGCGCTGCTCCACATTGGACCCACACATTCAACTTTCCTTACTTCAGATTCTCTCCATAACATTGGGCCAAGTACCAATACTACATCAATCTGTGACTTGTTTTTTTAAAAACAAATCCTTAATTATTTGGCACAAGGTCTTGCTACATAGCTCAGACTCCTAGTGATTCTCCTGTCTCAGCCTCCCCAGCGCTGGGGGTACAGGTGTGCACCACCATACCTGGTTTTGGTGGCTGGTGCAGCACGCCCAAAGTTCTGGGGTCAGCATGGCAAGCAGAACTGGGGATTGAACCAGGGCCCTTGCGTTTGCCAGATAGGCACTTAGACTGCCAAGCTAGCTCCCCAGCCCATGACTTGTTCTTCTGTAAGCCATCTTACCTTCTCTAAATAGTAACTCCTTTAGCACAGTATTTGATATTCTACAGGTCTAGAGTAAGCAATATTAACAAGCCCTTCATATGTAACTAATAAAGTATATGGAGCCCATCCATGATGTAGAGAATGACAATGTATACTTTAATATTTACAGACCATTTTCATCTATATTTTAGTTCAAGTACCAAATGTATCTGAGTCGGGCTGGGGAGATGGCTCAGTGGAATAAGTGCTTCCCTGGCAAGCACAAGGACCTGAGTTCAATCCCCAATTCCACAAAACAAACAAACAAACAAACAAACAAAAAAACCAAATGTATCTGAGTCAATAATAATAATCTTTGGTTAACAATCTGATCAAATAATCTCATCACCACTCATCAATACAGTTCAAACTGAAACAGACCAGGGAGCAGAGGACTGCAGATACTGGACATGTTGAATAATCAGGTGGCTAGTTATAACAGTGCCTACTTGGAATCCCAGTTACTCGGGAAGCTAAAGCAGGATGATAACAAAGTTTAAGACCAGCCTGGGCAACTTAATAAAAATGTCTCATCAAAAAAAAAAAAAAAAAAAAAAAAAAAAAAAAAAGAGGGTAAACCTGGGTGTGGTTGTGCACACCTTTAATCCCAGCACTGGGGAGCCTGAGGCAGGAGGATCACTCCAAATTTGAGGCCAGCCTGAGTTACACAGTGAGTTCAAGGTCAGCCTGCACTACATAGCAAGACTCTGTCTTAAAAATTAAATGAAAGAGGGGTTAGAGGCAAATATGGTGGATATAGCCCTATAATCTCAGCCCTCAGGAGGCTGAGGCAGGAGGAACACTGTGAGTTTAAGGCTAGCTTGGGCAACAAAGTGAATTCAAAGGCAGCCTGAACTGCATAGAGAAATCCTGTCTCAAATAGAAAAACAACCCCCCACCCCACAAAAAAAAAAAAAAAAAAAAAAAGACAAAACTTAAGAAACAGCTTAGTGCCTCCTGGGTTCAGTTTCCAGCAGTGACTTAGCAAGACCCTGTCTCAAAATTTAAAAAAAAAAAAAATCAAAAAGGGTTGAGGAAGAAGTTCAGTGCTGGGGCTCAGGGAGATGGCTCAGTGGAGTAAGTGCTTCCCTGGCAAGCACAAGTGCCTGAGTTCAATCCCTGGTTCCACCAAAAAAAAAAAGTAGTTGTTTAGTGCAGGGGACAACCCGCTTGTGCCCCCCTGCTGTTCCTCTCTTGGACAGGAGCTTTCTTTCCCCTAATAAATATATTCTGCTCATAAAAAAAAAAAAAAAGAAGTTCAGTGCAAAGGTCCTCAGTTTAATTCGCAATAAAAGAAAACTCAGGCAGTTCCTGTACCACCTCAATTGGTCTTAATGGGACAAGTACCTACACCTTGATTCAGAATCCAGGTTAACATTTTATTTTATTTTATTTTATTTTATTTTTTAAAGGATCTGAGTTTATTTATTTATTAGAGAGAGAGAGAGAGAGAGAGAGAGAGAGAGAGAGAGAGAGTGTGGTGTGTGTGTGTGGCCAGCTCAGCCCACCAGGGGGCGGGGCTGGCTGGCATGTGGTGCTGGGGATCGAACCGCGGTCCCTGATGCTTTGCTAAGCTTGTTCTAAGTAGGTGCTTTAGACCACTGAGCCATCTCTCCAGCCCCAAGGTTAACATTTTAAATGCAAACATTTTTATTGACAGTTTAGGGTTTAAACAATTCCACAAAACAGAAAAAATGTGTAAGACAGTGGCATGCAAAATCATAGTAAAGATTAATATTCCTCATCTTCGTCTTCTCCCTCAGCAGTATCTGCTCCAACCTCCTCATAATCCTTCTCGAGGGCAGCCATGTCCTCCCGGGCCTCGTAAAACTCCCCTTCCTCCATCCCCTCACCCACATACCAGTGAACGAAGGCCCGCTTGGCGAACATCAGATCAAACTTGTGGTTCAGGCGAGCCCAGGCCTCAGCAATGGCTGTAGTGTTGCTCAGCATGCACACAGCCCGCTGTACCCTGGCCAGGTCTCCACCAGGCACCAAGGTGGGAGGCTGGTAATTGATGCCCACCTTGAAACCAGTGGGACACCAGTCCACAAACTGGATGCTGCGCTTGGTCTTGATGGCGGCAATGGCAGCATTGACATCTTTGGGGACCACATCTCCACGGTAGAGCAGGCAGCAAGCCATGTATTTACCATGACAAGGGTCACACTTCACCATCTGGTTGGCTGGCTCAAAGCAGGCGTTGGTGATGTCTGTTACAGAAAACTGTTCATGGTAGGCTTTCTCTGCAGAGATGACAGGGGCATATGTGATCAGAGGGAAGTGGATGCGGGGATAGGGCACCAGGTTGGTCTGGAATTCTGTCAGATCCACATTCAGGGCTCCATCAAACCGGAGGGAAGCAGTGATGGAAGACACAACCTGGCTAACAAGGTGGTTCAAATGAGTGTAGGTGGGGCGCTGAATATCGAGGTTTCTACAACAGATATCATAGATGGCCTCATTGTCCACCAGGAAAGTACAATTAGATTGCTCCAGGATGGTGTGGGTGGTAAGGATGGCGTTGTAGGGCTCTACTACAGCTGTGGAGATCCTGGGGGCTGGGTAAATGGAAAACTCCAGCTTGGACTTCTTGTCATAGTCAAATGAGAGACGCTCCATCAGCAGGGAGGTGAACCCAGAGCCAGTGCCCCCACCAAAACTGCGAAAAACCAGAAATCCCTGCAGACCTGTGCACTGCTCAGTCTGTAAAACAAGAGTTAATTTTAGTGTTGAGACATCTGATAAAAGCTATGACTGACTTGTAATCGGTGTGAGGTTTGGTTTATTTATTTATTTATTTATTTATTTTTGGTGGAACCAGTGATTGAACTCAGGCCCTTGCACTTGCCAGGGAAGTGCTTCTTCTACTGAGCCATCTCCCTAGTCCTAGGTGTGACATTTGGGCAAGGTGATTTACTAACAGAATTCCACAAGACCTCACACCACTGGGCTATCTGGTTAATAAGTGTTACTCAAAAGATGATTTTTGTTGTTGTTCTATGACAGAATTTTGCTACTCAGTCCAGGCTGGCCTTGAACTCATGGCAAACATCTGCCTCAGTCTCCCAGGTGTTGGGCTACAGGTAGATTTTGACCTTTAAAAACGAAGTATCCTGGTGACAATCCTTCTCAAAGGTGCTTAGAGGTTTGTCAACAGTCTCTATTGGTCCTCCAGCACACGTATCCTGTGGAACCATGTTCAGTGACCACATAAGACTCACATGCAAGACAGACCATGTCTATCATGACATCCTTTAAGCATCCTGAGAATGCAGTAATAACTCCAAGGACAAGTTCAATTTTTTTTTTTTTTTTTTTTCAGAACCGGGAATTGAATTCTGAACCTTTGCAATTGCCACGGAAGTACTTATTCTACTGAGCTTTCTCCTTGGCCCCTCAAATGTTTTAGCATCCAGTGATTTTCCCCTCTGAACCCTAGATGGCTTTTATTATATTTGCCTCTAAAAGCAGGTCCCTGATTTCCAAGTTAGTGCTTGTCATGGAAGCTTGATTTTCTAGAGTAAGAACCATTAACCCAATTTTTTTGGGAAGCCTGTGAAGAAAATATGAAGCCAAGAGTGATGCAAAGCCATTATTTTCAGAACAGAGCTGCCGTGGTAGGGCTTGGAGCATGACTTTCCTGACGAGATGTTGTACCAGCTCTTTGCACTTGACTTCTGGTTACTTACTTACAAGCTGCCCCAGTCATCAGATTGCCAAGCTCATAACCAAAATGATCCAACACCACATTTACCAACCATCCTGACATGAAAAATGTTGCCTGAGACTGTGCTGCCAGAGCCATGTCACTGCCCTGATCAAAGCCCAGGCACTGCCTTTCTGTAACTGCACCTTGAAACCCCAAGCTTTCAATGGCTGATACCTGCTTCTGCCTGAAGGAAGCTCCAGGCTCTTTTTCGCCTTTCAGATTTGTTGGAGGTCTCTGCTTTTAGCTGTTTGTACATAATTATACTGGTTTCTTGTGGCCTGAACTTTCTTTTGGCCAGGCTGGGGGTCTTGCACATGCCAGAAAGTGCTACCTCTGAGATCATGTCCTGGGAGTCCTAAACTTCATTAACAGAGGGCACAGACCCAGAGGTTTTAAAAATGAGTTTGATCAATCAGCTACAGAGGGGGGCCTGCCCATTAGCTCAGTTGTTTAAATGATTCAGGCTCAGGATGCTGTGATTCAATCCCCGAATCCTCAAGCCTTTCCAGACCTGCCGGAAGGCATCCTGAGCCAGCCCCTCCCCCCCAAAAAAATAGCTACACATAGGAGTAGCTATTTGGTATAACTAAAATGACCTAAAAAGGGGTGAAGTCTCAGCTAGAAGCAAGAAGACGCAATGGTCATAAATGTCGTGAAATTGTGAAGAATTCTGTTTTTTTGAAACTGTCTTACTGCTATTTGTTTCTTAATAAAATAAAAAAATAAAAATAAAAAATAAATAAATAAAGGATTCTGTTCACATTTTGACAGCAGGTAAATTGCCTTCATTGAATAAATGAGCATAACTTCCCAAATCAGCAGAGTATGTACCCTTTGTACATACAGGCCCATGTGGTTTAGAAGGCCACTTAATGTAGAGAGCATCCCAAGTGTCATTTTAATTGCAAGGAATGATTCTCCGTTTGGCCAGGGAATGGTGGCATATGCCTGTAATCTCAGCATTTGGAAGCCTGAGGCAGGAGCATTGAGAGTTCAAGGCCAGCCTGGGCAACACAGGAGTTTAAGGCCAGCTTGGACTACAGAGACACTGTCTCAAAAAGCAAAAACAAAACACTGCAAGAAAAATCTCTATCCCCAGTCTAAAATGTTAAAAGTACTGTGCTTACCAGTTTCCGAATTTGCTCTGAGACGAGGTCAATGATCTTACTGCCAATGGTATAATACCCACGGGCATAGTTATTGGCAGCATCTTCCTTGCCTGTGATGAGCTGCTCAGGGTGGAAGAGCTGGCGGTAGGTACCAGTGCGCACCTTGTCTGGAAGAGAAGACACCCATCTCCCATTACGGAGCACCCTGCTCAAGCCTGGGACATCAACAGAACTCTCAGGCCACACCTCAATTCCCAGCACCCTAGGAAATCCCATGGCTCCCTGAGGTCTACTCACCAATGACAGTGGGTTCTAGGTCTACAAATGTTGTCCTGGGCACATATTTCCCAGCACTTGTCTCACTGAAGAAAGTGCTGAAGGAGTCATCTCCATCCCCAGTGGTCTTGTTACTTAACATTTGGCCATCGGGCTGGATATCATGTTCCAGGCAGTAGAGCTCCCAGCAGGCATTGCCAATCTGGACACCAGCCTGGCCAATGTGGATAGAGATGCACTCACGCTGTGGCAGGAAGAAAGAAAAATATCAGAATGACACATCAGTTGAGAAATGTCATTCTTAGGTGACTAATTAGCCTTCCAAGACAGATAACCACTTTCCAGAGGCTACTCTTGTCCTGAGAATGTTTCATAAGCAAAACTCTTTGTCAAAACTGGGCACAGTTGGCACATGCCTGTAATCCTTGCTACTCTTGAGGCTGAGGCAGGAGGATCACAAATTCAAGGCTAGCCAAGACATTTGGTGAGACTGTCTCAAAAAATATAGACTGAGGAGGTAGCTCAGCTAGCTCATAGAGTATCTTGTGGGTCTGACCTACAGAATAGGGTGGAGCAAGCTCTTCATTGAAAACATAATTCATAAAAACACATTTTGCAAGACCACATATGTTAGTAAACTGCCACGCAAAGCAGAACACTTGCTTTGTAGCCACAGATCAAGTTCATGTTTCTACATTTTAGAATGGTACAAGCTGTTTTATTAGCAACACAATTCCATTCCCCCCCAGCTCCTAGGAAACATTCCTTAGCTAACATAAAATTCGCCCTTCCAGGGCTGATTCATACTTTGTATGACTGTGTAATTCTTGAATTCATTCTGGTACCTCTTTAATCCTGTTCTTTATAAGGGCTTCTTCCTCTCCCCTCAAGAGCTACCTTAAACCAGCAACTCTAGCCATGACTCATGTGGAAAATGCTAGACAAGAAACAGGTAGCTGAATTTTTTAAAAAGTGTGGTCAAAGCAGCTTTTTCACCCAGTGAAAGAATCTTGTTTTTAAGGAATCTAATATTTAGAATTTTTTTTTTTTTGACAGAGTCTACGTAGTTCAGAATGGCTTTGAACTCATTATGTAGCTCAAACTACCCTCAAACCTCAGCCTCCTACCTCAGCCTCCCATGACTGATGGGATTACAGGTGTTGTGCCACCATTCCTAGCCACCATCAAATCTTGGAAGGATGACATGTTAAGAAAGGAGAGAACTACTAAGATTTAACTGTAATAGTTTAAGAAATTAGCTGCTTCCTATAAGAATATACATTTATGTCCAGCACTGTAGATTTTTCTCCTCTAGTAGTAGGCATTGAATCCAAAAACTGTACTGAATTACATCTCCAGTCCTTTTTATTTTTTCAGATAGGGTTTCACTAAGTTGCTGAGTTGCCAAGGCTGGGTTTGATTTTTTTTTTTTTTTTTTTGTGGAACCAGGGATTGACCTCAGGTCCTTGCACTTGCCAGGCAAGTGCTTATTCTACTGAACTATCTCCCTGGCCCCTTGGGCTTGAATTTGTGATCCTCCTCCCTTAGCTTCTTGAGTAGCTGGGATTATAGATGCATAGCATCATGCTTGGCTACTGTAGAATTCTTGAAATTCTAGGATTTCAGTGATACAGTAGGTATAGGGAAATATTTGTTTTCCTTTCATTTCTTTCTTTTCTTTTTTGTATTTTAGGACAGGGTCTACAGGGGTCTTATTGCATAGATCTGATTTGAGCCTCCCAAGTGCTGGGATTACAGGTGCATGCCACCACGACCAGTCAAAATCGCCCTCTCAACATGCTCTGGGGGTGGGGCTGGCAGGGCAGGCCTCAGGATTGAACTCCAGGTTCCTGTGTCTGCCAAAGCAGGTGCTTTAATCCGCTGAGCTATTTGGCTGGCCCTTCCTTTCATTTTTGAACATGGTTGAATTAACCTAGGTCCTTAGAAGCTGAAGCAGGAAGATCGCTGTTTGAAACTCAGCCCTAGAGTCCCTTGCCTAGCCTGTGTAAGTCCCTGGTTCAAATACCAGACTGGACAGGAAAAAAACAAAACAAAATAGGTCAGAGACTGGCCAAGAACTCTTTTTAAAAGTCCACGACTATCATTATTTCCCCCAAATAGTACAGTTTCAAGTTGTTTTTATTTATTTACTTATTTTTTGATACAGGGTCTTGTTATGAAGTTAGGACTTATAGTGAGCCTCCTGTCTCAGCCTCCCCAGCACTGGGATTACAGGTATGCACCACCAAGCCTGGTTTTGGGGTCAGCACAGCATGTGATACTGGGGGTTAAACTTGGGACCTTGTACTTGCCAGGCAGGTGCTTAGACTGCTGAGCTATCTCCTTAGCCCTCAAGTTGTTTTTGAGAAGATCCTGCTAGGCTTTGAACTTGGTATATAGCTCAAGCTGGCCTCAAACTCAAAATCCTTCTGGTTCGGCCTCTTAAGTGTGAGGATTATAGGCAGGCATTACCACACTGCTTCTGTTTTAAAAAAAAATTTTTGAGGCAGGGTCTCACTGAGTAGCCCAGGATGGCCTCAAATTCTCAGGGATCTTCTTGCCTCAGGCCTATAATTCAGGCTTGTGCCACCACACCCAGCTAGGTTTTGAGTTTTTAAAAAAACTTATCCAGACTGCAGCAGGTGCAGGGGCCTAGAGTTCAATCCCAGGCCTGCCATGCTGGCCTGGCCCCCAGGGCGCACTGAGATGGCCATTGTGACTGGGTCTGGTGGCACGCACCTGTAATCCCAGCACTTGGGAGGGATCATTATGAGTCCAATCTAGTAGTGGGACCCTGAACACCCTGTAGACCCTTCCCTAAAATACAGACCCCCCCCAAAAAAAACCCCCAAAACTTATCCAATAAGAAACCAACTGAAGAAAATTTGGCCAGGTGTTATGGGTCATGTTTGTAATCTCAAGGCTTGAGAACTGGAGGCTGGAGGACCACAAGTCCAAACCTTGCCCGGGCAGCAAAGAAAGTAGTGAAAGCTCCAAATAAAAAAATAAAAAAGAAAAAGAAAATTGAAGACCAGCCATATTCTTGAGGGTCCTAGTTTCATAACTCAAGATAATAAAAGCCCTATTGTTTTTTATTTTTATTTTTATTTTTTTAACATTTATTTATTGTGTGTGTGTGTGTGGCCAGCTCAGCCCACCAGGGGGCAGGGCTGGCTGGCATGTGGTGCTGGAGGATCGAACCGCGGTCCCTGTGCTTTGCCAAGCTTGTTCCAAGTAGGTGCTTTAGACCACTGAGCCATCTCTCCAGCCCTTTTTTTATTTTTATTTTTATTTTTTTAATAAAAGCCCTATTGTATACCACCTTTAACTTATGCTCCTCCCCTTGCCACGTATGCTCCCCATGGAATAACCAAGGCTCCTGACCACATCAGCAAGCTTTTCACTGTCTGTGGGCAGTGGAGGACAGAAACTGTTCTCTACTATTTACTGTTGCATTGGATTGACCTATATCTGAACTTTGGAAACTATAATCACAGAAACTGGCAAGAACCAGCCATCTGTTCATGGTGGACCCAGCCTAAACCCAAGCAAATACAGTACTGTACCTGACAAAATTCACTCATTCTAACAAACCACTTCCTTAAGAGGAATCTTAGCCATGCATGGTGGTGAATTCCAGCCCTTGGGAGGCTCAGGCAGGACGATCCTCAGTTCAAGGCATATATGTATATATCTCCTGTCTCAAAACACCCCAAAAAACCCCAAACCAACAATCTGTCCCCCCCCACTTTGGCAGGCGAGAATTCTACCACTGAACCACCCATGCTGTACTCTTCTTTGGTTTTGGCCTCACACTTACAGGCTCCTCCTGCCTCAACACACCCAGTGCTGGGGTTACAGGTGTGCACCACCATATCCATTTTACACCTCTTACCTTTTAAGAACATCTTTGTCTAGCTGGGCAAGGTAACTCCAGCACTCTGAGAGCCTGAGGCTGGGAAGAGCACAAGGTCAAGTCCAGCCTGGACAGCACAATGACTTGGAGACACTGAACAGGCTGTCTGCTGTCCTCAAGCTCACCGTACAGTCATTACTGTTTGTCCTCCACTCTCAAGGGTCATGGGGTGGGGTGTGGTGGGGGTGGGATGGGGTTAAGCCACAGGTGAGTCAGTCCCATTTACATTGAATGTGCAGCAACATTCTCATTAAAAACCACCCACAGTACCTGTACTTTCCTATAAACAGCTGTGCCACTCTGCTCTCCTGCCCTTTAAGTACCCTTTTCTGAATCACTTTTACCAGATCTTTTGCATCTTGCTCGTTGAGTCAAAGCAATTTGCTATAGTCACACGTGCTTTCACTCACTGTGGTCAGCCTCTAAAAATTCCTGTCAGCTGTTCACTATATTCCTTTAACAAAAACATACTATTTTGAAACACAGGTTACACGGATACTCGTTTGAAATGACTTCCTTTAGATAGACTTTCAGCAGGTGTTGTCTTTGTTGTTTCGAATACTTCTGGGAAGATACATAGAAAATGCTCAAATCCTGGTGCTGAGGATCAAACTCAGGCCCTTGTGCACTTCGGGCAAGTTCTCCATCAGTGAGCCACACCTGCAGCCCTGACTTTTTTTGAGACAGGATCTCCCCACATAGTTAAAGCTATCTTTGAACTCACTAATGTAGCCCAGACTGGCCTCAAACTTGTGGCCAGCTTCCTGCCTCTGCAGTGCAGGCATAAGGACCCCTGACACACTGGGTTCCAACCTCCTGTTTCTTGAAAACTGAACTAAGAACATTCCATTAGTACTAGTTTTCTCTCCTTTTGAAAGAAAATATCCTTCTATAGATTTGTTTTTGATACCTGGTTTTAAGTAGAAAGCTTCACATTATAAACATCCTACTAGATTAACACTAGGAAAGCGGGGTTAGGCAGGGACAGTTGTTCCCTTCCAAAGAGGAGGTCGCCTTCTCCAGTGAATTGGTACAACTGACAGCACTCAGAACTGGATACAGGTGACTCAGTATCTCATCATAGGGCATGAGCGGCTGCCCAGAAGTACACCCAGTCTTCCAAGGTGACATCTAAGGTGGTAGGAAGGTGAGGCCACTGGAGAAACGTGGGGACAGACTTCAGTTTCTCCAAGTCCTAGGGCTCAACATGAAGGCTCCTTGCTCTTCCCAGTAGGGTAGGG